CGCAGGTGCGCGGTCCGGGGCGACCCGCTCGCGGCGTCCCGGGGCGGAGCCTTGTGAAGCTGGGCTCCTTCTGCGCGTCCCCAGTGAAGGATCCCGCGCAGGTCTGAGTTGACGGGCAGGGAGGTGGTGTAACTCACCAGCCCACTGAGCAAATTCAGTTTTCAGAAAACTGATTCGTAGGACTGGTCTTGAGCGCCCAGGATGGAAGTTTTCACGAATATAGTTCTGTTGCTGAACACGTTTGCAGTTTTCTGCCATAATCTAATCTCTGAAAAAAGTGGGATGTACTGCCACAGTTATAACATTCAAGAGTTAGAGCCCTTGCCACTAAAGATTTTAAGGAAAACTTACCACCTTTCAAGGAGAGAGCCAACGTATAGGGATAATTTGTTGCTATGTACCTGGCACTGTTCTGATTGTCATATATATTTATTAGCTTATTTACAGGTTGCTGTCCTGTAGAAATATAACATTTATGTACAGATAGGCATATAGAGAAGCATAGTTCAGCCTTGTCTGTAATAGGAACAGATAACTCCAATTCAGTGTCTATACAGGAATGACTAAACTTGTGCGTAAATATTACGGAATATTACTGTTAATTCTGCTAGTGTGTAGAAAAGATTGAAATGGTGATAACTGTATATACACTCAGTTTCTATGGCTGCTTTGCCAATTGCTGTGATTTGGCAGTAGAAAGCAATCATTTATTATGCTCACAGATTGTCTAAGTCAGGAATTCACAGCAAGATGGTTTTTCTGTGCTCCATTTTACGTGTCATTCAGGAAACTCAAAGGTTGAGAATTAGAAGCATCTGAAAATTCACTCAGGCTGATAGTTAATGCTGGATAGAAGTTAGAGGTCTCGGTTCTGTTCTTGTAGACGCCTGTGTGTGGTCTTGTGGTGTGGATTAGTTTGGGCTTTCTCGCCGCCACCTGGCTGGCTCCTTAAGACAAGGCAGAGAGCCAGGCAGAAACATCACCGTTTCAGACCTAGTCTGACAAGTCACTTCTGCTGCGTGATGCAGAGTTGCGTCCAAGTTCGAGAGATTGGGAAGTACTTCCTCTTGATAAGGAGATGTTGTCAAAGACCAGGTGGAGCCGAAAGCATTGTCGTGGGCATCTTTGAAAAATACAGTGTTCCAGAAGCATATACATAGGAACAGAGGCAGAGGGAGGCATCAAGTACTGATGGGCCACCTCCGTTCTCTGTAAGTCCCAACACAGGTGGTAGGAAGTGCTGGAACAGATCATACATTCCTTCATATTAAAGCTGTTAAGACTTCTTGGTCTTCATTTTAGCTACATTTGCAGATATCAGGCCAACTTTGTACAGCAGCCACAGTCCCTGACCACTGCTTGCTTTGCACTGTCTGCATCACATGACTCTGCCAGCGGCTCCCTGAGAAAGGGAAGGGTTTGTATGTGTACTTCTGCACTTCGCAGCCCACCTAGAAATGCGTCTGTGTTGGGACTTACAGAGAATGGAGATGGCCCAT